ATGTTTCCAAAACTGATGTTTCAAACGTTAGGCCTTGGTAAGATTTCAGTGGCACTTACTTGAACATCTCACAAAAACCAACTAGGGTCCAGTCCATTTACTAGTGTTTCAAACACACACTAAATTCACCTTTTTTGGTCCTATGTTGACGCTTTTCACAAAAGTTAGACCTACATAACGTTTAGATGGAATTTATGGATGGGTTGATTTATAGTAAGCCTTTCTGGCAAAGAACAAAAGGGGCAGACTGTTGGAATTCACGAGCTAAATTACAGCTGATGTCATTCCACTTTCCCAATGGTGAGAGTTTTCCGGCAAATATATTGGCACATTTCTCTTGACCACTGTTTGGTTCTCCTTTTGCCCATGCAGAAAACTGGCCTGTCACAGGAGTATCGTCAATCCAGTAGAACTCGTTGTCAGGTTTTCTGTAAAGTCCAATCCACACACCAAGGTGTTGCACTAATTCCTGATTTAGAATCAGATCGAGTATGAAGTTGTTGTCATCAGCAGATCTGATTACAGGCAGATCTCCCCCGTACCTCTTGCAAACCCTGCGGGCTTCAGTCCAATTTTGCGTTGGAGTGTCGAAAACAACGTAACATGATTGAGAGTGGAGAGCCCATCCTTTCTGGCAAACCTGTTGTTATCAGTCGATGGAAAACGAGACATTTAGGTTAAAGTACTCCAGCAAATTATTTCCCGAAGTGTCCATAAAAATTTTCTTTGCGCATACACTCAGATATCATCCACAGACATTTCTTATCTGTGGCTTGTGGAAAAGTGTTACCTTCAAGAAACATATAATATTCAGGGTATCTTATATTCCGTCACTTGATGCCTCTCAATTGGTCACTGGCCGAGAATATTACATGATAAATTATAAATGATTACTAAACCCGATGATTATAAATGCAAAGTGAAAACTGGGTTCCACTTCTTGCTTAGAACAAGCAAAGTGAATACTAACATTTCGAAACCTTGAAAAAGTTGTTTCTTCCTGATCAGCAAAGTTGCTTCTTTCACTCACAACAGAGAAGTCGTGCTTGTTCAGTTCACAAGTCCCTCCAATGCTTTTCTTCTTGGATGAAAACTTGAAGTTGGTGGAAGTACACCAGGTGTTTCTCAGACATTTCTGACCGCACGATAACAAACTCGGTGAATCAAACCGTTTGATAACATATCCTATCAGCCTCTTGTTTTGAAAGGCTTCAAAATAAGAAAAATGAGAATTTCCAGACCCTTCGACAGAAAAACATGCCGTAGTTCCCATTAGTACCAACAACAAAACTGTTTTCTGTGCAGCCATAATGAACTGCCAGCTTCTAGTTGGAGGTCAGATGGTAGGTAGTCTTTTGAAGTTCTATAACATGGATTTGTATTGGCAGTCTTACAATTGAAAATTAATTGTTTAGGGTTAAAGGAACAATTCTTTTCTTTACGGACTTTGTTCAGGTCTTTGTTCCTTGATTTATGGTCAGCCTTTCTGAATAAATATTCAGCCTAGTGGGAACTTGGCAGAAGAAGGAAACCAAATGTTAAAAAAGAGTTTCGCGTAGCTAGACAAAGTGGTAATTCATGCTAAATTGAATTAAAAAAAATTGTTTCATGGTAGATCACAATCTTTAAGAAATAGATTTAGATACATATGTCACTGTAAAAGGCAAAAAAATCCTTCCTCCACGAATAGACTGGCTGGTTTTTATCAGGAAGCCTCACATTTCTTGTACCAGGACGGCTATACATGATTTTGACTGATTCCAGCTGCTCTCGGATGGTCAAGATTATGAGCTCGAGATTACTATCGCATGATAGGTACCGATCAATAAAAAATTGAGAGCGAATAATCTAGTTGTTACTGTTAAATATATATTTAATACCTAAAAATTAACAACAAGATAGACATATGTTTCTATTTATTTTATTCACAATCTCACACTGCGAGACTACTTTCTCTACTTTACTCTACTAGTTACTCACTATTCTGCTATCGCGGAATACTTAGCGAATGGCGTGGTTAATCAGATTGTAGTACCACAGGCGGTCCAAGCTCCAGCTGTGAGACGATCATCTTGCGCAATAAGCGTCATGGGGCAAATTCAAGAGTTTGAGTGGTATTTACAATCGCTCTTAGGAATAAAAAAATACATTAAATTCTCAATGAAAATCCCTCACCTTACTTCCCCAGTGCATCACTTGTCATCTGACCACTCCCTATGTTGAAAAGAACCCATTTTAGCGAGTTATCCATTTCTAGGTTTCATAAGACAGGAATTGATTACTAATATTTCCATACAAACTCTTACGTTTTCGTCATGACGCTTATTACGATGATCGTCTCACAACTGGAGCTTGAGCCGCCTGTGGTAGTAATTGGAATAGAACGCTGTTAGAGTTAGGGGGTAAGTTTCTAAAGAAACTGAGGTGCTGCGTTGGTGGGAGAGTATAGTAGGTAATATAGTGTTAACAACTGAGTTGAAAACGTAAATTGGCCACCGTAAAGAATAAAAAAGCTGACTTTTCGAGCGTTACCCCTTGGTCAAAGCGATTGGAGGAATTGTGGGTTGTGTGTGGGTTTCTATGTAGAAAGTGGAGCTACACTATTGGTGGGAGTATGGTGACGAGAAAACAAGAATAAATTAGGTGAATGAAAAGCGCTCTTTGATACCGTGGGGATTAACAGTGCCGATTTGGAAGATAAATTTTTGTTCTCGTGTTTTGCGGCTTTCCGAACTGCTTAGATGTGAGGAAAGGCCGCAAACTGCCATATGTTGTTTAGTATGATTAGGGAGATTTAAGTGTTTAGTGACTGGTTTGGATGCATCCTTGTCATTTCTTTCCACGTAGCGAAGTATAATTTATTGCAAGTTAAAATTATGCAGTAAATGACATTGGCGGAGGTACACGTAAAGTGATCAGTGATCTTAAGATGACTCACTGCCCGAACCCATGCGTAATCAGGATGTTATTTCAAAAAACTTCTACAAAGACTTTTTTATTCAAAGAGTACTTTGATTTAAGTTATGTTAGAAATATTGCGATGAGAATTTTAATTTTTACTTTTACTTTTAATCTCAATTTCAAGATACGAATTTTTAACATGTTCTTCTATATATTTGTTTTATTATTGATGTAGTTTTTTCATCTACAAAATTTTCGGTCTTGAATATTCAGTTGTAAAGCGCCATGAGCATACGGATAATGCGCTAATATTCACTTTAATATGTTTTAAATCATTATTATTATTATTATTATTATTATTATTATTATTATTATTATCATTATTATTATTATCATCATCATCCTTAGTTCAGCGGTCATAGTGTGACTTGGTAGATTCTTCATGTAATCTTTTCACAAAGATGCAATGCTGGGGACTGGGTATTAATAACAATAATTGATACTACTCTGGTTAACAGATTTAATGAATGTAACCGAAGAAGTTACAACTCATAGACCCAACGTCTTTCTAGTGCCTTCATCAGGGTTGATCTAAACGCTGCAACAAGGAACTTTCCACGGCAAACAGGAAAGACAAGATGTGCTTACTAAGCGCCCAAAAAAATCAACATTTTACGTACGAGACCCTCTGAAAAACAATGGCTAAAAGCAGCTATTAGGGATTGTCAGGTTAATAGCTTGCCAAGAAGCGTGACAGTCATAGCAAGTAATTAACTTGTTAAATCGTGTTGTTTATTAACAAGGTCAGAGTACTTCTATTTCATTTCGCGTAAGCTTCCATCCTCGTGTACATTTTCGCGGTGCCATTACTTTAGCGCGATCAAACCGAGATCCCAAATCGCCTCAGGAGAAAACGTACCGAAACATCTATCGTAGTTCCATGAATAATTACTTTATGTTTGAATCCAGCGGCCACAAAATCTCGATATAAACAAGGGAGTTCGTGTTGGGGGCATCAGCGAATCGAGATGGGAGTGAAAGGATTGTGGGAATTAATAAAACCGGCAGGAAAGCCTGTTACAATAGAGACCCTTCAGAACAAGACTATCGGAGTTGGTATCCTTGCTGTCTTTAGATCCCATTTAAGGCAAAATATATAAGCTTATGCACCTCTAGTTCTGTTACATTTTACCCTTTAATGTAATCTCACGTAGACTGATGTGAAAGTATTCACCAATCTTGAGTCTGCTTGGGTGTGAGCTACGATTAAGCCTATCACGCTGAATGGAATTAAACTATGGGGTGAAAATCATTTATTTTATCAGTTTGTGATAAAATCAAGTATCAGAGCTGCAGAACTGTTTGAAAGCAATTGTGCATTCCGTTGAGTTTGGTTTCACAACTGAATCTTCAATCCAAGATAATTGTGGATGTTGATATTTTACAAGTGTGGTTCAGTTTTCCAGACAACGATGTTTCAAGAAATTGAAAATATTTTCAGCCAATCATTGCATATAAAAAACACCAAGAGATGACCTTTTTTAGTTTGTCTCACAATGGAGTCACTTTGGATGCTGATCGCAACATTTCGACAGCAATACTGCTAGTCTTCATCAGGCAATGAGGTCGATTGTATAAATGTCGCTATTTGCAGTTAGGTACATAAAAGACACTATTTACATAACGACTATCTTAGTCTATGATATACCGCGAATTATTATGTGATATATCTTGATCATCAAATACTTGACTAGATTTTTCAGTTGTCTTGATGTCAAAGTCTTTTATAACCTTGATCCTAATGAACAGATGTTAGTTTGCTGCTGAATCAGTCTGTTAAGGGAATGCGGGGCAGGCATGGTAATCCTTTGGCCACAGCACACATGGCAGGATTGTTTTCCACAACCTGCAAGCTGCTGTCTCATAGAATAAAACCAATATTTGTATTTGATGGTGCAGCCCCAGAACTCAAGGATAAGACTCTGGTAATGAATCAGTAAACAGTAAACAATAGAACATGTAAATCAGTCAAATGTGAACCACCTTCAAGATGGTGATAAATGTGCCTAACAACTTGGAATCATAAATCTTATGGACACCAACTATTCCTTACAGTAACTTTTTGCTAAAAGCAGTGAAATAGCTAGTGTGCCCTTGAATAACATGATATTTAAAGGTTTTAGCCCCTAAGATCCGATTTATAATTTTCCATCATTCATAAGTGTATACATAGCTTTAGTGAACTTTTTTTTTAAAGATTTTTGGTTTAAATTTGTTTTTCCTATGAAGTTGCATGTAATATTTGCAGATAACCCAATTAATTCTCATGACTAGTTTATCAGTGAGGTATTGATGTCACAGAAAGACTTAAAAACTTGTGGAAGTGGGCATAAAGAGTGTGGTTTTATATTGCCAGCAAAGGCAATGGAATAACAAGTTATAAATTTTGTCAATCTTTGAAACAATAATGATGATAAATTTGATATATTTTGTCATTTTCTTTAACAGGCTGCAAGAAGAGATCAAAGGTTTAAGGCTGTGCATAAGTCAAAGAGTGTTGCAGAGAAAATGTTGAAAAATAAATTACGTTGTGAAGATATCAAAAAAGTCATTAAACAAGAAAGGTATCTCTACCTGTATAAATTGTACAAAAAGTTTAGTATTAATTTTGGAATCTTGTAAGTTTAAAAAGAAAACTCCCTTTTCTTGACTGAAGTGAGGTTTCTTTGGTGGTAAACTTCCTGCAATGCCTCACAATTTTACCAGCTGTTGGAAAAGTTTGGGCAAAAATTTGTTCCAAAAGCCAGTCTGAAAACAGTTGATGTATAATTATGTAAAACTTGTAATTTTGAAATTTCATTATTTGTTTATCAAGAAAATGAATTTTTCTTTTCCCAGGTCAGATTTCCCTTTGTTAAAGTTTGTTTTTCACATCTTGTTCTCTTTCGCTGGCAGTCCAAGTCAGGCAAACAATTCAATCTATAGTTGGTCTGAAGTTAACCCTTTAACTCCCAAGATCTGATTGTTAATTCTCCCCTCTAGATGCTACACATTTCCTTGTAAATTAGTTACAAGAATTTGGTGTTAGATCACAATAATAAGTTTGAGCATTCTCCTAACCTGTTTGCAAGATTAGGTACAGCTATTACTGGTACAGGGAGAAGTTACATGTTGAGGTCAAAGGGTTAATAGTTTATCTAAAATTTTAGGATTTTGTTGGTGAAAGTGCATTATAGTGAATATCTTTTTAGCACAAGTACAGCTCTGGCCAGTGTAAACCTGATGAAGCAGGGTGCATTTGAACCAAAACATACTCCACTGCCTTCAGATGCACTGGTATCATATATGAAAAGGTGAGAGTTTGTAAGTATGAAATTGACTTTATTGAGCAAAAGCTGTTGGTAAACTTTTCAGCTGATTAAGTTTATGACTCACATTTGTAAATGAATAATGATATTCATGAAAAAATTACACGTGTCTGATTGGCTTTAAATGAGTGCCTTTTTCATGTAACACAAGTGCAAAGTTGTCACACAAGTGCAAATTACAAATAGCATGTGCCCACTACCAAAATTTTGTCTGTCTTGACTTTCGGTGATGTGTTTTTTATGTAAATTATTATCAAGAAACAACATGATTTTGAGTGCTATTTGGTGTTAATAAGCACTCTTAAATTTTTCAGAGACTTCAAATTGCACTTGCCCTATGCACTCGGGCAATTTTGTTGTCTTTGAAAAATTTACTCATGCTTATTAACACAAAATTGCACTTGAAAACATGTTGTTACCTTATATACAAACATAAGACTCTACTTGTAAATCTTTGCACTCAAATTAAGTGGAGCAGGTATACTGGTATTTCATTTTCTCAATGTGCACACTGATGACCTAGGTGTGACCATTGAAGCCTTATAGAGGGGAATTATCCCAACACATGTTAATTTTAGTGGAGCAATAATTGCTTAATTAATTATTGCCTTTACTTGTTAGCTGTGTCTTCATTGAATTATAAAACTCTTGGGAACTTTGGCAAACATTCAGGAAGCTGGAATTGCTAAAGGAAAATTTATCTTGCTCTCTAACTTCAAGCATGCTTCATATCTCAGTGAAGGCACTCTAAATGCAAAAAGGAAATAATTGTCAGTCAAGTTCATCCACTAACCAGTCTTGTGGCTTTTGTCTTGTTCAGGTCATTGCGAGGCAAGGTAAAGGCAAATACGAGCACCTCCTCTCAGTTGTTTTCTGATAGTCACACTGTCGTGCCAGCTTTGGAGAAACATGATTCTTTGGAAGTATTGAAAATTGGAATGGATTGTCCTGTGGAACCCAAGGTGAGGTGGTCTATTCTTAAGGTGACATGGCATGTTTCTAAGGAAATATAGGAGGTATCACACTATCACCACCATGACCGTTTATCCAATGTCATATATGAAATAAGTTGACTACTGCCCTCATAAAGTAAGATAACTTGTGCAATACTCAACAGTTTCTATGAGACTTTCCCTTGCCCTGTGGCCAAAGTTTAGAATATATTGGTAATGGACTGATCGAAGAACATTGAAAACTAAGCTTTTTGACTATCTTCAGGATAGAAGGTAATAAAATGCATACTTAACACTTTTAGCAAGAGATGGATGGCATACGGGCAGAACAGAAGTCTCTTGCAGCAGAACTTGCCAGGCAGAATCGCCGGGCAGCTACAGTGACCCCTGAGATGTACATCGATTGTCAGGTACATCAAAGCATTATTAACATCTCCGTGTACCATTAGTTTCAAAACAATGTCGTTGTACTCATTATCCCTTCTTTTATTCTGTTCTCTCTTCCTTTTCTTTCTCTCCTTCTTCTTCTCGTGCATTTCTTCTCGCAGGTTACACCTGAACACAACCTTTATGTCCTCCCCTCCCCTCCCCTCCTCGTGCCTTTTTAATCCAGTTCCCACCCCTTTCCATTCCTCTTCTCTTAGTTCTTTCCTACCCTTCCTTTAATTCTCAGTTCCATGCTGTCCCTCCCCTCTTCGTGCCTCTATTATCTTGTTTCCGCCCCTTTCCATCCCTCTTCTTCTGTTTCTTTCTTACCCTTCCTTTCATTCTCAGTTTTATACTGTTCCTACTCCTCTTTTCGTTTCCCCATTTTGTACTCCTTCCATTTTCCCTTCAGTTGATAGATTGTGGAAAGACTTGCTTGTGCAGTGGCTCTGTTCTTCATTAGAATAAAGATGCAGAGTCTAGCGTTTACGAATAAATAGTGGAAATTTTTCTTGCGGCATGAAAACTAATGTTGTGGTAATTTAAAAAGCCCGAATAATTAGAGAGGTAACACGGTTGAATGTCGTGTTAAAGGCATCAAAAACGCACTAACGCGTCAATTGAAGAAGAGGCTATTACATTTCACTTCCTTAAGTGCTCTTTCTGATATGAGATGGCAGCTCATCATCTTATCTTCCATAGAAACCTCAGTCAATTGTAGTATTCCTGAATGCAAGAGATGAAGAATTTCTCCAGCTAGTGCAGTGTCGATTGCCAAGTAATCTTCAGTTCGTGCTGCAGGCAGTACATTAAATTACTTTTTTCTTTTACCTCAGAAACTACTACTGAAGTTTGGTGTTCCTTATGTGATAAGTCCGACCGAAGCCGAAGCCCAGTGCGCCGCATTAGAACTAGCTGGTAAATCAGATGGAACTATTTCAGACGACAGTGATATATTCCTCTTTGGTAGCAAACGAGTGTATAGAAATATCTTCGACACTAAAATGGAAGCAGAGGAATACACAAGTGATGCAGTTAAGAGAAAGCTACGTTAGTCTGAAGTTTGTCGATTACCGTCTGTATTTTTTAATTGAAATCTCTTTTTTGAAACGTTTATAGGAAATATAAAGTGGGAAAGTTATATTGGTGATAGCGCGCTTTTCGCGCTTTTCGATTGGCCATTACAACGGCCAATCAGAAGAAAGGAAAATACATTTAAAAGCCAATGAGAATTCAAAGTGAAAACAACCAAACCGCCTAAAGGGCGGGAAAACGCAGGCGACCAAGTCGTGATTTGGTTTTTTCGTTTTGCATCTGATTGGTTGAGAGAGTGGCGCCAGTTTTCTGGACCAATCACATAACAAGTAAAGCAGAACTAATGCAATCATGATTTACTTTTGACACTCAGTTAAAAATTACTCTGACTTAAAAAAAACGTGGAACACTTAACAGGAAAAAGCGTAGAAAAAACGACTGTATCCGGTGCTGAATGTTACGTGAAAAACGCGAGGCTGATTTAAACCTTGGGAGAATAACTTTCTAACGAGTGTGTGGATTATGAAAACTCATGAACTCGTTAAAGATCCGCTCTATCGTGACAGCGTGCATCCTAAAGTGCGGTTGTACAATCATAAAGAACCGGAGAAGTCGCCAAGGTCATTCTGAATACAGATAAATGTTACTTGGAGCCAGTGAGAGGTCAAATTAAAGACGTCTGAGGACGACTTGTAGGATTGGTTATAGTTTTCCATTTGATTTCTTGAATAAGTGACACGAGTCGTCCTGGCCAATACTTTTGAACATGTTAGGTTAACACTGTTGGCTTAATTTTAAGTCAGTTCCCAGTTTCAAGAAAAGAAAAGGTTCCACAATTTTAGTCGTTGAATGTAAAGCCAACCAGTGCGGCTAAAACCTCAGTATTTAACACGTTTTCTTCCGTTCGTTTTCTTTCTCTTTTCACTTATTAATGTAAAAGTTTTTATTAGTTCTAGACCGTTCGAGTCTTATCTGCCTCGCCTTCATCACCGGCAGCGACTACACTGATGGCTTAAAAGGTTAGAAGCCCATCGTATGACAAGGATGTTATAATGGACAACCTCGATGATTTGCGTCGTACGAAGTTCATGATCGAACCGTAAAACATGTGTAGTTTATAAGTCGTAGAAAATAATGCAAATGGATAAAAATTGGGCAGTTTCGAGTCTTTGCCCATAATCATCGGTGTGGTGTTCTTGGTCAAGATACTTATTACATTTATTCCCACAAATTACCATTTCCATCCAGGAGTACAAATGGGTGACGTTGGATCGTCAGGGTGGGGAGGGAGGGTAAGACAGAGGCTCTTGTGAGAGCAAGCTCAGTATTCTCTTTTTAATTATCTTGGATGTTTATGTTTATTATGACGGTTAATAATTCTTGTCTTAAGAAATAAGAAGTCAGCTCGACTCAAACCGTCGGAGAAGTTATAAGCAGAATTTCCTACTCACGGAAGACTTCATTAAATGTGGGAGAGGAGCTTGTTCGAGGTCAGAGTATGTGCCCCAAAGAAATTTAAGATTTTCTTTTCTCGGTTGGAACATAACTCGGTTGGGACTTCAACTAACTAACTCAACTAACAAGTTGTTTTATGGATTTTTATTTTGCAGGGTTTGGAGGAGTTAATGCCGTGGAGATTCTTCACGAGTTTTCTATTAAAGATTTCGAGGGTCTTGAGCAGTTTAGGTAGGTTATTGTGGGATTGATGCTTGATTTAATAACTAGTTCGTTCAGTTTAAGACCAAGTCAACACTACGGGGGATAGATGTAAAAATTAATTTTTATTACTACTGTAATGTCCACAGTCCTCATTGATCGAGGTAAATTTGAATTTCAACCCACAGCGAAGCTTTTCGAGGTTCACATAGATAATCATATCTGATCATCATGAAATTTTTGGTCGTGATTTCGTCCTGATCATCGTAATCGTGTTATTTTGTGTTTGTGGGTATCTAATGGCATTTTATCTGCGTCAATTCTTTAGATGCTGGCATGACGAAGCCCAAAAAGGCCCGAGGGATCCCCACGAAGGCAGAATTAGGAAGCGTCTTGTAAGAAGCTCAATTTAACTAGCCCATGTTGTGGACATTATTAGGGTGATTAACCAGTGAAACCTGCTCAAGTATCGTGCCAGTGAATATTTCGATGCTAACTTAGAACTAAAATAGATAATTCAAGTCCTATTGTGGGTTATCAATTGTTTCTCTCTGCCTTTTTTGTTTTGTAGAGAGGTGTGGTGCTGCCAAGTGACTTTCCATCTAAAGCAGTTTATGACGCTTATAGCAATCCGGCGGTAGAGAAACAAACAGGGGATTTTGAATGGAAACATCCAGACCTGGAGTTCCTTAAATCATATCCTTTCCAAGTTAACCTTATCAGTATTTTTGTATCTTTAAAGGCCTTACTTGAATCAGGAACATTCCATGCAACATGTCCTTTAAGGACAACATGCAACTGTTGCAAAATAAATTGTCATGCATAATTGTATTTTTTTCAAAATTTGAATTTCCTTTACCAGGATGCATGGAGACTTGTCCTGTAATTAATTATTCTCTGTGTCGTGATATTGCCTAGATTCCGGCTAGCGGTTATCACGGTACTAGTACCTAGGGCCACCATATACAAAAATGGGCATCTAATAATTATTCATTGGTAGTGTGACTTTGTTTTTTTTTAGTTAGTTGTGTTCTTTGTACTTTGTTATATACATATGTGCGTTTTCGTACGCTTCCTGTTCTTGAACGAGAACCACAACACTCGGTACTCTCGTTGTCCGCTTGCTTCGTAATATGTTGATAACACAAGGAGATAAGCATCACTAATAACTCCTTAACATTCTCACATTTGCTTTCAAAATCCTTGGCTGGACTGAAGCCAAGACAAACGAGGTTCTAAATCCTTTGATCAAGCGACTCAGTGAAAAAAAGGTAAGTTAGAGGCAGGAATGTTAGTCTTAAGCGAGAGTAATGGTAATTCTTGGTGCACACTGATTTCAAGACTTTACCCGACGAATTATGTACTTTTGTAATCTTGTTTTTCTTTGCGCGACTTCTCGCTATTGCACGCGGGAACGAAGTTACGTCCCTGTTTCCGATTTCCTGAAAAGTGGTTGGCACCTAACTAAGTATGAAAGATTTAACTTGGTGTTTATTTTTCGTGAAGAAAGTGTTAGAATTATCCAACACTTGGGTTGCACTTGATCGAAGTGCAAGGCAAACCTGAAAAAAACCAAAAACTCCTAACCCTAACCCTTACCCTAACCCTTACCCTAACCCATTAAATTAACAATTTCTACAGAGCTTAAATGAACTCTAATCTTAGGCCAGTGTTATCATGTTCTGAATGGCGCGGTCCTGCGGCGCCGCTGTTAAGTGGGCTAAAAGCTTTTCCAGGGAAAGGGTTCGTATTTTTTCGATCTGGAGACATTAGGCTGGCTGTTATCGTTATTTACAAATACCGCGTGATCGCGTTGATAACTAGATCCCGTTGAGAAAAAAGTTTTATCCAAACGTTTTTTGTCCTGAGCAATGTCGAGAAAGTTTCTCACGAACATTACGAAAAAAAATGTCTATTTACTTTGATAATTTTATCAAAAACGGTAACCTCGAGGTCCAATTTTTGTTTGAAATCTCGGTCTAACTTAAACTTTGCTGAGATAGTCAGAACTCTAACTGACAGATGTTACTTCTTTTATATCCTCTTCATTCCTGAAAGCCTTTTCTTGTTCTCCTATCAGATAGGGAGATACTCAATAAATATCGCAACCGGAGGCTGAATGATGTGTATACAATATACGTTATAATCTACCATATTAGTTGATTCTTTTTCTATGTTTTACCTCTTTTGTGTATTTCAACTATTCTAGGCTATTATTTCAAAGATCCCGTGGCGTACAACATGTTTGCATATACCTAATAAGTTCATGTTGTTTTACTTCCAGACACAAATGAAGATCGATCAGTTTTTCAACCACGTAACGGTTTACTGTGACAACGTAAAAGTCAAGAGCCAACGTATTCAGCGAGTATTAAAAC